TATCTCCTCATTTCCATTGCTATTTGACTGGTCTTCCCGGTTTCCCACATTGTTCGAACGTTCCATGTACCTATAAAAATTTTTGCTCTGGTTGTTAGAAGGGGCATCGGCCTCGTGGCTTCCGAAGGAACTCGGCTTTCACCATGAAGCGTCATAATTCTTCTAAATGAAGACCTTCTAACTCCCAGGGCAGAGTTTAAATGGTTTGAATTATTTTTTCTGGTAAGCGTTTCTTAACGAGTTAGCTTTCTACGGAATGGGGTCGCTAACCCCTTGCCCAATCTTCCTCCTTTACGCGGCCTTAGGTCCGGCAGTCACTCTAGAAGAGCTATAGGCGGAGTTAAGTAATGTAAGCAAGTAATATAAACATTTCAAAAGGCGTAACGCAAAGAGAACAATGAAAATCCCTCCGCAGCCTTTTTGTTAAACAGTACTGTCATTAATTTGTTTCTTCTTCCTGTCGTGTATTTTAGCCTTTGTTTTATTACGTGAATTTGAACAGACTTATCTTTTGTTACCTAATTTTCTACTGCATGTTGTCAGAATATTGACAGTAGGGTCATGTTTGGCTAAGCTCAAGGTCTCAGCGTGAATCGGTGTGTGACGGTTAACCTTTTTCTGTCTGCTTGGGGGGATTTCTGGAAGCCCTGCAGGTAGATATTTGATCCCATTTCGTAGGGAATATTTTACTGATTCTTAGGTATCGAACCTTTTGGTATTAACTGTTTCTTTTATTGTTTAGCGCGCAACTTTGCGTTAGAGAAACTTCTGACTGTATAGCACAGGCTGTACTTTCTGAGGTATTTTGTATCTCTGATATAATTTATTCTACTTCCTTATTTAGAACCGTTTAAATTCAGCACAAAGTTTGTGTTTTGATATAATTTGATACGAGTGTCTCAAAAACGCTTCTGAAGCTATATAGAAGAACATAGTCTGGCTATTCGAATACATTTTGGTCCGTAAGTCCTACGTTCAAACGGAATACTGGGAGTTCGGTCGTTACAAGAGGGGTAAGTCACAAAAGAACGAAGAATCTTGGACTGAGGTGACTGATGTTAGCAAGCTTCGCCTGCTGAATTATTCATTCACTTAGAATTGTCCACTAAAAACAGGCAATCATAAGAGTGGATTGAAGCATTAAAAAATCTCTTATTAACACGTACTATAAACCCAAACAATAAGCCCTCGCAATAACGACGAAATCCAGGCGACTTTTACTTTTTTCTTGGTTAATTTACTAGGTTTTTTAGTACTTCATGACTTGTATAAGTTTTTTCATTTAGATTGGGGGTGTACATTTCGTATGAACCACTCCACAAACTGTTTTCGGTATAAGGTGTGTTTAGTAGCTTTACCAAAAAGTATGACTCTTATTTTGTTCTCGAAAATTATGGCTGCAACGATTAAATTAACAATAATATAAGTTACTATAGTCACATCATCAGTGAACTTCCTCAGTTCCTGAGGAAGCAAAGTGGATATGGAGTGTTCTCTCGAGTAGTTGTAGTAAGGGCGAGGTTGATATACTCTCCGTTAAGCATTTTTACGTTTTGTTTATTGTAACCACAAAACAAAAGCACCGATTTAAATACCAGATCATTCGTTTTCCGGCCAAAATTACTTCTCTTATGAGTAGTGACACTTCCTACCCAGTATTCCTATTACAAGCAAAATAGACAATTCACTAAATTACAAAGCCTACTCAAGACTCTATGAAATCTATAAAAAATAAATAAATAAAAAGGCTCCAATACCTTCAAAAAAAGGAGATAGCCAATTGTGTTTCACAACTGTTTTTTGCACTATATTTTAAAACTACACATAATACCATATTCTCAGCTGCTTTCTGAACCACCTCCGTTTGACAACTGTTTATCCACTCATACACTGTACACACTTATTTTCTTTAACCTATTAAAATGCTCTTGCTTAACAAATACCGTAATAAAAGAAAATTAGACTGAGTAATCATGCCTTACACATTCCTTCATGAATATTAGCTACTCTGCCTCTCGCTCATTCTCTTACTTGCTCTCTCTTTCAGCCCCCTTGAGATATGGAACGGGTGACTTCATCCTGCATCATCTTTAAATCCCTAGATATTCCAAAGGGATATAAAGTTGCGATTTCTAGAAGCTCCCACCTTCAATGGACCTATCCTTGACCATCAGTTGCACATTCGCAACGCAACTTTCATGAAGCGCGTCAACTGTGATACTGACTAAAACCATCTACATTCATATCCTTTAAATTATCAACCCAGCTGAGTAATTTACTACAGTGTATATTGTATCATTTGTAAAAATTTGATCTTGCCTGTAAACTGGCATGCCCCATGTAACAAACTGTTATTTGGGAATAAACTATTATCATTATGTTAATAAAGAGAAGCAGTATTCTTTCATTATGAGCGACATGATATATTAGGATCTCTTCGTTTTGTTCCTAATGTATCAAATCGGTTAGGATTAACAGCTTCTCTGAAAGCTTCATATGGCTTATTTTTCATCCCGAGCACCCTTTGGATTCCCATTTTTTAACACGTTCTAGATCAGTATTTCTTATTGAAAGAAAATATGACGCAAGAGATCTTATTGAATGAAGTCTAAATTAAACAGTTTTTAAAAAATTCCGGAGCAAAGCTGTTTGATATTTTGGAAAGAAACACAAAGATAGGGCGTCTTGTTCGCCAAACGGACATCTAGGATATTTGAATAAGATACACAGCCACAGGGATCAGAACTTATTCCTTTTAGTGCGCCCACATTTAGAACGTCTTGAGTGAATTGCAGTAATACACTATTCTCATAGCTCCTAAACTGATGTTGTCTAATAATACCAGTTTTTATAGTTTAAGTAGTCCTTCAACAGACATTAACTCGAACAACACCTTCAAAATTACCTACTTACGCCTCTTACCTCTCGTGTAAGATAATGGGCTACTCAGAGTAAATAATCAAAAAATGGAACGAGTTTGCTTTGATGGACAAGTGCATTATTAACAAACCGTGGAAGCATTTGTGTCACGTAAGGATGGAACAAATTAAGCACTCAGATGGTTGAACAAACATTTTGAATAAACAATACACAGCAACAGACAAGCAGTTAATTTTTAGGGAATGTGTACGACTCACTCTTGTCGAAAAAGCAAACTTCCAAAAATCTTAGAATATTATGTTACTGTTTCATGATAATCTAGCTTAATCAATTTAAGTAACAGCAATTTAGAGCCAAAAAATTAGTTAGGCAACCACCCAGTTTAGAGGGAGACTCAAATAAAATTAGCTCGATAAGATAACCGTGAATTCCACCTCAAGCATCTCTGCGGCTACTGCCGGTCCCAGGTCCGGATGAAGGAGGATGTTTGGGCAGCGGTTTAGTGACACCATCCCGAAGAAAACTAACTCGCTAAAAAACATTAACCAGAAAGAATAACTAAAACCATTTAAAATCTGTTCTGAGTTAGAAGGTCTTCATTTAAAATAGTTATGACGCCGTGATGGCATTGAGCCCTAACCATACAATCCCCAAAGCTGAACATGAGACAATGGGGAAACTTGATCTTCAACATTTAACGTGAAGAAAAACCCAACGATGAAGGAGGAGGGAAGAATGAATTCAATTAATTCGAATTCATCGGATGGCACGGCTCGGCCTTGCAGGCGTGATCATTCTTGTTTCTTGTCATATACATTTTATTCATATTAAATATATTGTTCTATCTCCAGCCTGAAGGTGTTCCGCACCATATATTGATGATTGTTAAAACGCGATGAGTTGGTTTAGACAATGATGAGACTTACATGTAAGATCTTATAGATTAAGCGATTACATCATGACAAACCAATTATTTTAATATTGAGTCTATTATTAGAGGAGTGATAATATCAAAGTGGACCATAATTCCACAACACCTCATGGTGGAAGCCGAGTTCCTTCGGATGCAACCATTAATTTATGTACATGGAATGCTTGTACAATATGGGAGATCGGGAGGGTCATCCAAAACGCTGAAGAAATGAAAAGATGCAACCTGGAGGTGCTTGAAATCAGTGTAGCTCATTGAATGCAGGTTGGACAACAACGACTAGCATCAGAAGAGCTGCTGTTATACACATACACACACAAGAAGTTGCACTGGTGCTATTCAAACAAGTACAAAAAGCACTTATAAGAATATAATATCATGGAACCAGGATAATCAATTCTACGGTAAGCTGCATTCAGTCGTCAAGAAGTGCTTATCACAGGTTGTAACGGAAAGAGAGCAGTGAAAATCTCTCTGCAGCTTGTTTGTTGAACAGTATTTTCATTTATTTGTTCCTTCTCCCTTTTGTGTATTCCAACCTTTGTTTCGATCTCGTTTAACCGTGTCTTTTGTTCTTCAGTCTTCCCCGTTTGAGCCTTTATTATGTGATTTTGATTGAAGACTTATTTTGTTACCTAATTTTCTATTGCATGTTGCCGGACCATTGACAGTAAGGTTGTGTTTGACTAAGCTCAAGGTCACGGCGTGGTTCAGTTTGTGACTGTTAACCTTCGTAGAGCGTGCGATATATTGAAACGGTTGTTCGGTAGAACACACGAAATAAGTCGGGCTTTGATGAAAGATTTAACTGAAGGTCCTGATATTGCGCATAATGACTCAGAAAGTCTATCTAGACTAGCGATAAAGATGGAGAACTGGTCTATAACCTTAGAACAAATGGATTATTCAGCGGATCTCAACTCCGTAGTGACAATAGAAAGTATAGTAAAGAAGTTGCCCACGGTTTTACAGATGAGATGGGCTGAGACAGTAGGAAAGGTAACGGCAAATGGAAGAGAGCCTACTTTTGCTGAGTTAACAGAATTTGTGTCATCTAGAGCGGAAATATTGCTTAGCAGATTCGGACAGATTGCAACTGCTAGTAAACGAGTTGCAAGCAAGGTGGCCTGTTCCATACAAGGTTTGTCGTTCGGTAAAATCGTTAGCAAGGCACCTCATGTCATATGCGGAGAAACTCATAGTGCGGATAAATGTTTCCAGTTTTCAACCTTAGCAGTCAACGATAAGTGGGCGAAAGCAAGAGAAAAGGGCTTGTGTTTTTGTTGTCTTCGAAGGGGCACAGATCTGTGGATTGTAAAGATCGTGTTGTGTGTACTGTCGAAGGTTGTCGGGATCGGCATCACCCATTGTTGCATAAAACCATCCGAGTTCAGAGTGGTTCGAGTGAGTGCTTAAAAGAAAGTCATTGTGCGTACACAGAGTCATTAAAAGAGGATGTGTTTCTGGGTCTGATCCCTGTACGCCTTAGAGCTGGGGACAAGGAAGTTTCTGGATATGCGTTTCTAGACAATGGCTCAGATACGACCCTAATCAAGTTAAGTACCGTACGACGTTTAGGATTATCGTCAGATAGTGCGTCGATTACCATCAAAACGGTCAACGGAAATAAGTTAAGCAGATCGACCACTAAAGCCTTTAAAGCTTACTCATTGAACGGAGACGAATGTATATGTATTGAACAGGCTGTTGTAGTAGATGATTTGCCGGTGCATCGACCAAGAGTACCTGTGAAGGACAGCGCCAAGAAATGGCCTCATCTTATTGACTTACCTTGGACAGAATCAGTGGATGGTGAAGTTATGTTGCTTATTGGTTGTGACGTGCCTGAAGCGCATTGGGTCCTAGATCAAAGATTGGGTGGAAGAAAAAGCCCATATGCTATTAGGACACTCCTAGGATGGGTTCTGTTTGGACCGGCAGGCTTTAGCAAAAACAGTAAAAGGATGGTAAATTATATTTCTCAATCTGACAACCCTGTAGAGCAGTTAAAGGAAATATATAACTACGAATTTGCTGACGTGCACTCCTCCGATAAAGCATTATCTTTAAATGACTTGAAAGCAGTTGGCATAGTGGAGCGCGACACTTATTTTGACGAGGGTCATTGGATTGTCCCTTTACCTTGGAGGGTGGAGAGAAATGTAGTCTCTGGTAGCTATGATCTAGCTAGACGAAGATTAGAAAGTCTAAGACGTAGACTCACATGCAATAAGGACTTTCGGGAAAGCTACACTTGTGCCATGCAGCAGACGATTGACAAAGGGTATGCGGTTGTGGTTCCAGGTATGCAACTCGATCCGGGTTATCGTCCAAAATGGTACTTGCCCCATCATGCAGTGATTAACCCCAGAAAACCAAGCAGAGTGAGAGTGGTATTGGATTGTGCTGCTAAGGTGGCTGGTAAATCCTTGAATGACCTTCTTTACCAAGGTCCAGATACTACAGCATGTTTAGTTGGGATCCTGTTACGTTTCCGCAGGGAACCGGTTGCCGTTTCCGCGGATGTGGAAGAAATGTTCATGCAAGTAAAGGTCTCGAAGCCCGATTGTGGAGCGCTACGTTTCCTTTGGTGGCCGAAGGGTGATATCGAGAAGGAACCGGTGGAGTATCAGATGACATCACATCCCTTCGGGGCAATATCCTCACCCTTCTGTGCAAACTTTGCATTGATGAAGACGGCTCAAAGTTCTCTAGTGACTATGATAACAGCGTAGGGGAATCGGTACTGAACAACTTTTATGTGGATGATTGCCTAGTATCCTTTCCCAATGATGAAGATGCGAAAAGTTTTGTGGTACAACTAAATGAATTGATGGCTCGAGGAGGTTTCAAGTTGAAAAAATGGGTGACTAACTCGGAAATTGTAAGGAAAGTTTTTCCGCAATCTGATAGTATGGAAGCGATTGTTGATATGTCTCTGAATCAAGGGCCGACACATCGAGCCCTCGGGATTGAATGGGACACCACACACGATGTTTTTAATTTTCGTTTTGATCCAGGGAAAAAACTCCGACTAGGAGAGGAATACTATCCACCATTTCATCTCTTTTCGATCCACTGGGCTGATAGCTCCAATATACCTTCCTGCTAAACAACTCTTACAGAATCTTTGTAAAACGCGTATCGGTTGGGACCAGCCTCCGAGTGATAGTGTTGTGTCCTCGTGGAACGAATGGGTCACGTTTGTGCGGAGGCTCGGAACGATCAGTGTTCCTCGAAGCATTATAAATGAAAACAGAAAGAACTTTAAGGCGATTGAGCTGCATTTATTTTGTGACGCCTCTGAATCTGGTTACGGTGCGGTAGCTTACTCGTGGAACATCCCTAAGCACCAAGCACCATACAGCGTTCTACTCTATAGTAAGTCTAGAGTGGCACCTATAAAACAGGTGACTGTGCCTAGACTGGAACTAGCAGCGGCAGTATTGAGTGCTAGAATGGGGGAAGTTTTAAATAGGAACCTTCCTCAGGTGTTTGACAAGACTCACTTCTGGACGGATTCTATGATAGTACTGTACTATATAAAAAATACAGATAGTAGGTATTCCACCTTCGTGGCTAATCGCCTGGCCGCTATTCATCATTTAACATCTGTGGACCAGTGGGGGCACGTAGAATCCAATGAAAATCCTGCTGACTGGACATCACGAGGCATACGGAAGGAGCTAGATTTAAAGAACTGGATTGAGGGTCCTTCCTTCTTAAGGAAGAGGGAGTCTGTAGGAACACTAACGCTTATGTGCGAAAACCCCCCAGAAAATGTTGAATTTAAAAGATGTCACACGACCAACGCAGTTGCGCTAAAACATAGCTTAAGTCCAATTCTGCTATATCACTCAAATTGGATAAAGCTGATTAAAGCGGTAGCATGGCTCAGAAGATACGTGACCTATATAACCATCATGTACTCCCATCACAATGACAGGTCCCTAAGTGTGGGCTATCTGTCAGTTGATGAATTGGATGCAGCTAAACACAAGGTATTAGCCTTAGTGCAAAAGGAAGTGTATGGGGAAGCAGTAAAAGTGTCTCGATGCAATGGCGTAAGCGCAACTGATATAAAAGAGCTAAAAAATCTTTCACCTACGCTAATCGATGGATTGCTTTGTGTCGGCGGACGATTAAATTACTCGGATTATCCACTCTCAATCAGACATCCGGTAATTTTACCCAGTCATCACTTCGTAACAGAACTTATTATTAGACACCATCACCACCTAGAAGGTCACACCGGGACATCACAAGTGTTAGCTACCATACGACGAAATTATTGGATTGTTAAAGGAACCAGTGCAGTTAAACGAGTGATAGGTAGATGTGTGAGGTGTATACGCGCGAAAGCCACATTAGGCCAACAGATGATGGCACCTCTCCCCAAGTGTCGAGTGCAGCAAGGCTGGTTTTGCTTCTCCTCCGTCGGGATAGACTATTTTGGGCCGTTGATAGTTCGTCGGGGAAGAAGTGAGGAAAAAAGATATGGATGCCTATTTACGTGTCTCCAAACACGTGCCGTACATTTGGAAGTAGCTTTCAATTTGAGTACTGATGCTTTTATAATGGCTTTAATACGTTTCATAGGAAGGAGAGGAACTCCTAAGGAAATCTATAGCGACAATGGAACTAACTTTGTCGGGGCTACTTCCGAATTACGGGCTAATATGAGTGTGTGGGACAAGCATAGAATAAACGACTTAACAGTATCGAAGGGTATACGCTGGCATTTCAACCCCCCACTAGCTAGCCATCGAGGCGGAGTTTGGGAGAGATTAATACGGTCTGTTCGGAGGATCTTACTATCTATTTCCAACGGGCAAATATTACACGATGATAGTTTGGCAACTTATTTTGTGGAGGTAGAACGAATTTTAAACAACCGCCCAATCGTTCCTGTGACGTCAGATGAAAAGGATGATTTGGCGCTCACGCCAAACACTTTGTTATTACTAAGAGACTGTGATGGTTTAGGAATGGAGTGTAGTGTTGCGGATAGGTATTCAAAGCGATGGAGACAGGTAATTGTTTAGCCAATACCTTCTGGCGTCGATGGATAAAAGAGTACATTCCTTTACTGCAAGTGAGGCAGAAATGGTTTTGCAAACACAGAAACTTAAAAGAAGGTGATGTAGTTCTAGTGGCTAACGATGCAACTACTCGGGGTTCATGGCCAATGGGACGGGTTGATAAGTGCGAGACAGATAGAGATGGGTTGGTAAGAACAGTGATGGTGCGAATGAGAGAAGGTGTAGTAAGAAGAGATGTGCGAAAGCTCTGCCTTCTAGAGGGAGCCGAGTAATTGTAGATTGTAGCTTAGGTTTATGGATGTACAGGCGTACTGTTGTAAGTCCTGTGCCTCCCATTGATATAGAGCAGTTAGTAAGGAGAGCCATGACAGAAATGTATTCTAAGGTGTCTTTGCGTAGCTGGAGGGATTTTGGGGGCCGGTGTAACGGAAAGAGAACAGTAAAAATCCCTCTGCAGCTTCTTTGTTGAACAGTATTTTCATTTATTTGTTCCTTCTCCCTTTTGTGTATTCCAACCTTTGTTTCGATCTCGTTTAACCATGTCTTTTGTTCTTCAGTCTTCCCCGTTTGAGCCTTTATTATGTGATTTTGATTAAAGACTTATTTTTGTTACCTAATTTTCTATTGCATGTTGCCGGACCATTGACAGTAAGGTTGTGTTTGACTAAGCTCAAGGTCACGGCGTGGTTCAGTTTGTGACTGTTAACCTTCTGACTGTCTGCTTGGGAGAATTGCTGCAATCCCTGCAGATAGATATTTGATCCCATCTTATTGGGAATATTTGTATTGATTCTCAGGTATCAAACCCTTTAGTATTAACTGTCTCTTTCATTGTTTAGCGCGCTACTTTGCGTTAGAGAAACTTCTGACTGTATAGCACAGGCTGTACCGTTTGAGGTATTTTGTATTTTTGATGTAATTTGTTCTGTTTTCTTAATTAGAACCGTTTATATTGAGCACAGAGTTTGTGTTTTGATATAATATAATACGAGTATCTCAAAGACGCGTTGTGGGCTATACAGAGGAACTTGGTCTGGTCTAATCGAATAAATTTTGGGTTCGTCAGTCCGTTGCTCCAACCGAATATTGGCTGTTCGGTCGTTACACAGGTCTTGAGCACTCTGGTGGAAGACATAAATGCCAAGGTTGTAATGGACAACACCATATATGAAGACATCATGAGACGACATGGACTGGGAGTAAAGACCGAAAATGGTGAGAGATTTACAAACTTATTTGTCTTTAACAAACTGATTATAGGCGGCACCATATTCCCACACAAACGTGTGCACAATACCACATGCGTTTCACCTCATCATACCACACAGAACCAAATCGACCATATCTGCATCATTAAAAGGTTCAGGAGGACGATATAGGACGTGAAAACCAAGAAAGAAGCTGATATAGCCTCAGGTCATCACTTGCTGGTCGACAAGAAGAAATTGAAACTCAAGAAGCACTGGAGAACCTGGCGGACAATATCACAAAAGTTCAATACGGCCTTTCTTCAGGGTACTAACAAACTCAACAAATTCAAGTTAGCCCTCAGCAATAAGTTCCAGGCCTTTCATGATCTACTCACTGGGGAAGGAACTACTATGGAGAGCAACTGGAACGGGATAAAGGAAGCGATAACTTCAACATGTCATGAGGCTCTAAGCTACAAGAAGCACCATCACAAGGAATGGATCACTGTTGATACACTGGATATGATTCAAGAAAGGAGGAAAAAGGAGGCAGCAATCAGTATCAGCCAAACAAGAGCAGAGAAAGCCAAGGCACAAGCTGAATACATAGAAGGAAACGAGCAAGTGAAGAGGAGCATCAAAACTGACAAACGTAAATATGTGGAAGATCTAACAAAGGGTGAAAACACGAGACATCTGTAAGACACAACAAAGAGGCTCACTAAAAATTACCGTAAACCAAAACGGTAAGTGCAATCTAAGGAAAGCAAAGTGATCACCAACATTAGGGTATAGCAAAACGGGTGGGTGGAGCACCCCAAACAACTCTCGAATCGACCAGCCCCACTGGACCAACCCGTGATCGAATAAGCACCCACAGACCTCCCATTCAATGTCGGCCCACCAACAATTGAAGAGATTAGCATGGCCATCAGGCAAGTCAAGAGCAGCAAAGCAGCGGGATTAGAAGACATTCTAGCAGCGGCATTAGAAGTAGATGTAGCAGCAACTGCAAAGTACATCACATATTCTCCAGCAAGATTTGGGATGAAGAACAGGTACCAACAGACTGGAAAGAAAGAATCCTGATCAAGGTATTAAAGAAAGGAGATCGCAGCAAGTGTGATAACTACAGCGACATCACTCTACTCTCGATACCAAGACAAGTCTTTAACAGGGTATTGCTAAACAGGATGAAGGACTACGTAGACGCCCAAATTCGTGACCAACAGTCAGGATTACGTAAGAATAGATCGTGTACAGACCAAATCGCAACTCTACGGATCATTGTGGAACAATCAATTAAATGGAATTCACCACTCTACATCAACTTCATTGACTACGAAAAGGCATTTGATAGATTGGACAGAACAACACTATGGAAACTTCTTCGATACTACGACGTGCCTCAGAAGATAGTCAATATCATACAGAGTTCATATGATGGATTACACTACATAATTGTGCATGGAGGA